TGAAACATCGTCAGAAGTAACAACGATTTATTATTGTAATATTTGTTTACAGATCTTAGTTGCTTAGTTCGTTTATTCCTTTTATATGTTGGTGTAACAATACAAAATATCAAACGGCAGATCGGTGTTTTGGTTTCGGCGTCCGTTATAACTAAGCGTTTCTAAGATATCTTCTAAGAACAGCGTGGGCCCGAGCGTAGCGAGAGCTGGGCATTACCGGTTTATGAGACTTTGATGACAGTTTCTGACGATGGAAACTGATCTGGCGGATTGAAACAGTTGGTGAAATTTTGGATAGTCGCCGTTCATCTTTCCTGGTGCCGGTCAAGTCCTCTTTGAACAAGCAATATCTGGAACTTTTTGGAATTGGGTCAAGTTCAACAATGCTTGGGTCAAGGAAGGGACAGAGTGTCTTGGATGCAAACAGGAAAGTAAGTCATTGTGACTTGTCTGCTAATTGTAACGATGTGTCTGATGTTAAACATGATATGGTTGATGTTACTGTTTCGCCGTTCAGGGATAATAGGGACATCAAACTCCCTAAATTAGAACCACGATGTTTCGATGGAAACCCGGCTGATTATTTACAATTTGTAAAGGAGTTTGAGATCATGTTGAGTGGTTTTTTATTAAATGATGAATTGAAATTGATGTATTTGATGAGATATTGCACTGGAGATGCTGCAAGAGCTATACAGTGTTGTAAGTTTATGAAGCCAAAGGAGGGCTACGATGAGGCTATGAGCATATTACGCCAAAGGTTTGGAAGACCTTCGATGATTGCAGGGAAATTATTCGAGGCTGTTAAGGGTAATGGTGGTCAATTACAGGATGACTCCCAGGCACTCACTGAGTTTTTAGATAATTTGCTAATTTACAAGAATGGAATGATTTCGATGAATCGCGTGAGTGACCTCAACTCGAGTTTTATACTAGAAGTAATAGCAAGACGTCTACCTACTCGACTGCAAAGGAAGTGGGTGAAGATAAGCTCCCGTATGGAGGATGAGGGTATCGAGCCAAAGTTTGATGATATCCTGAAACTGGTAAATACTAGTGTCAATCAATCTATGAGCAAGTTCGCCAGTCTGTTAGATCTCACCCCTAGAATAGAGCAGTCTGAGGGGAAAACGTACTCATTGATGACGAATAAGCCTCAGAGAGGTGGATATCGAGAAGGCTCCATGATGTCTAGTAATGCATATAGATCTAGTGAGTGTAACAATTTTCGTAGTACATCCTCAACAGATAAGTTGCAAGATGCAAGACAAACACGGTTGTGTTGTACTCGTTTGCAAGAGGTGCATACAAAAGTGAACTGTGAACCAGTGAGCAAGTTCAGTGATAAGCTAAATGTAAACTCCAGGTCTGACTCCAAATTGTGTGACGATAACGGTGTTGTGAAGAAGTCTGTAGTTGCAATTGGTAAGCCGTTGTTGAATAGAGTGTCACAGAATAGAGTTACTGCTTCAGAGTGCAGTTCTGACTCCACAAGTTTACAAAGTATATCTAGTCAGAGTGAAGTTATAAAACCTTTAATGAATTTTGAGGAGGAACGAAAATCGTCTACTTCTGTTATTAAGGAGCTTGAAAATGATGAACTTGACGGTAAATTGAATATTTGTGGTGATGATCATGATAGTGCAGATTTGTCTTTGGTTGATCATTATGAGATGCGGGATATGCCTACTACTGCTAAGTTAAATAAAGGTTCTGTACAACTACAACGTGAAGTAGAATTGAACGCAGATGCAGTTCCAGAAGGTGTGCATACTTGTGAGACAGTCAGTGTAATTGATCAGCATGTAGCCCACCTATCATCAGATGATAGTGCTAAACCTGAACTAGTAGTGAAAGACAGCAGTGGTGGTAATCTTGCAGTTGGACAACTATCTGAGAGCCGAACAAGAACAGCTTCTGATCCACCACTAAGTTCATCACCTTGTGTCACTCAGTCATCGTTGGTGTTTTCATCCACAATGAAACAGATGCCCATCAACTCTAGTATCTTCTGCAATGACTATGGTAGTATCAGTTCGTTTGAAAGGACGAATATCAATGGTCAGTTTAGTGTGGATAAGCCAAGTGTAAAGGAGAGAGTTATTGTTAAATTGACTTGCATGAATAAAGGCATTTCTAGTTTCAAGTTATTATTTGAATGTTATTATCTTTGGTGTAAATTACTCTGTTTCTATACTTGGTTGATGAGAGATGTCGTGTGTTTATTGGTCATCTATATTCTACGATACAATGACATGGGCGTGTTGCCGTTCAGATTTGAGGATATAGCTGATAGAAGAAAGTTAGCAAATGAACTCTGCGACGATTTTCCAACCTAGGGCGTCAACCTGAGAAGGGTTGTAGGCGTACTGCTGTAAGTCCTACAATTCTTCAAAGGGTAGCGCATCAATGAGCAGTCCAATGTGCTTGGTGTGTGATTTTGTACATATGTTCATATTGTATATACTGAATTGATATCATTTATCATCTAGCTGTTGGTAATTCTGTTTGTGTCCGGATGACTTCCACTTGGATCATCAACCTGAGAAGGAATGTAGGCGTACTGCTGTAAGTCCTACGGTTCTTCAAGGGTAGTTTGTCGTGTCAGAATCCACAACATTTGATGTGTTGATTGTACATATGTTTGTGTTAAATAGTTGTGTGAGTTCCAATTGATGTAATTGTTGGTTAATCTTGTTTGTGTCTGGACATTCCACAACTTACAATCGTCAACCTGTGAAGGGTTGTAGGCGTACTGGTGTAAGTCCTGCAATTCTTCAAAGGAATTCCACCAAGACATGATCGGCGAGGTTGTTTGTACTATTTGTATATACGTGTGGTGTGTCATAGCAATTGGTGTTTTTTGGATTCATTGTGTTTACTTGTTGTTTTCGTGTCTTGTTGTTATTGCGTAATTTTGTTAAAATTTTCGTCTTGATTACTTCTGAAGTTGTTTCGAGTCTTCTACATCCATGAATGAATTGATTGATGTTAAGGACAGCAGATGGGTCGTATACGCCGGGGAGGCTAGGCTATTGCTGAGAATGAAATGCACACGGAGACAATTGTTAGCTGCGGTCCGACACGCCGGGGAGAAAGAGTGTAAACGACTGAGGCTCGCATGCGTCACCGCTATTAGAACTGAGGCAGAATGAGTGGCCAGCGATTGCAGTGGTAATTGGTAATGAGTAGATAAGAGGATGTGCGTAGAGTATCGTGAGGTGCTGCCATGGTCACTTTGCATTCTGCAAGAGTCATTCTAGCAAGTGGAGACTGTGTTGCAAGATGTCAAGAGGAGGTCTCTGTCTGGAGGCGCAGGTCGTCATTGATGTGTGAGATTGTGCTGTGGGTATGCTTGTGGTGTGTTGGCTTTTCTGTTTGTTTTCCATTTCAGCTCTGTCCGTGTGACCCAGGTTCTCGCAATGGCATCCAAGTCAACGTGCATTAGTCGTGAAGGAAAAAAGGGTTGGATCCCTTTTTTGCCGGGGAGTGTCAATGGAGTTGAAGATTGAACGATCAATTCTTGGTTGTTTGCTCAAAATCAACTTCCTCGATTTTCGCGGAGGCATCAATACGACAGTCATCGTCTCATCGGTCGCTGTTCAGAAAGAAGATTGAAACATCGTCAGAAGTAACAACGATTTATTATTGTAATATTTGTTTACAGACCTTAGTTGCTTAGTTCGTTTATTCCTTTTATATGTTGGTGTAACAATACAAAATATCAAACGGCAGATCGGTGTTTTGGTTTCGGCGTCCGTTATAACTAAGCGTTTCTAAGATATCTTCTAAGAACAGCGTGGGCCCGAGCGTAGCGAGAGCTGGGCATTACCGGTTTATGAGACTTTGATGACAAGGGTACTTCGGCCCTGTAAATTACAATCTGAACAGTAAAACAGACTATCTAATGCCGAGAAATGATTCCAGATACCCACGTAATGAGGCCAGAAACCAATAGATGCAACAAGATTATTTTCGGCTGCAGCAAACAATAGCCTCTCCCTCAGCACAGTTTGTTCAGGGAATAGTAGACACGCTGACACTGTCTCATCTGAGAATCCCTCCGAACATAACATAGGCAACCAGGAGTTAGGGATAGTAACAAGAAAACCTACTAATCATCCTCCAAACAACCCTGGTTTTCTGAAAATTATGCTCTTAAATGCTCGATCTCTCCTTAACAAAATAACTTCCCTTCGCGGCTTAGTATACATGGAACGGCCAACTCTGATCCTGGTAACTGCAACTTGGCTAACTAATGATATACCTGATACAAAGCTGATAATTGATAACTATGACATCCACAGGAATGATAGAGTGGACAAAAGGGGAGGCGGGTGTCTAACATGTGCTTCTAAATCCACCGACTTACACCGAATGTAAATAAAATTCTAATGGGATGTATATACAGAGCCCCTAACAGTCCTAAAACGACTGATACCGTTATCGGAGAAATACTAGAGATTGTACCTAAGCTAGAATTCGACTACAAACTAGTTTGTGGCGATCTCAACCTCCCCGGAGTAAACTGGGATACCTGCACTGGACAGAGAACCCACGAGGTGATCCTAGAAGCCATAGATGTAGGAGGATGGAAGCAGTGCCTACGCCTCCCAACACGACACAACAATATTGTCGAACTAGTCCTATGCCACAAAATAGAGCCGATCTCGATAGAGGTGGGGGATAAGCTCAACAACAGTGATCACAACATACTGTACTGCACTCTACCTCTTCAACTAACAACTAGACACACATCCAAAATTTCCCCGGTTTACTATCAATATAAGGACTATAGAAATGCCGACTGGGAATTCCTACCAACGCTCTTGAGAAGCTCTGACTGGGGTGAATACTTAACCAATAATAACTTAGAAGTGACACTTAATACCTTCTACAAGACAATCAGTTTGATAAGAGACACAATCGCACCTCTGAAATCTGCCTTAAAGACACCAACTATATTCATAGACCGCAAAACGCAATTAAAACTAAGGAAAATGAAAAGAACATTTTATTTATATAAAAAATTTAGTGCATTACACCAGATACATGAAACATTTAAAAATCTTGAGGGGAGACATAAAATGAAGGCACCACCTGAGGAAAATAAAGCTATACGGGGCACCTCTAAAACTCAGGAACTCTGCGAGATCTTGCAAAAACGACTGAAGAGGGGTGAAGACAATAATGTTAGCCACTTGGAACATGAAGGTATAATTTATGATGATTCCCAGATTATTAGTGAACTCCTTAGAGAGTGGTTATCCAATGATACCAAAGTGCATCCGTCCCCAATTCTCGACATAACCTGAAAAAACAACTACAAGTTAGGTGAAATCAACTTTAATATACAAAATATACCATCAGCGGTAAAAACATTAAAAGCTAACGGTAGTTGTAGGATAGATGATATACCATCTGGCATATACAAAAACGGTCGAACGGATATGATAGCATTATTACTTCGAATATTTACCCTCTCACCAGTGACTGGGACCTACTCTGAAACTTAGAAAAGCACATATATATTACCTAAGAACAAAGGAGGGGCCAAAACTAGTGCATGTAATTATATATGCCTATCAAAATAACACCTGTCATATCAAGGATCATGGAGAAAGTAATCAAAGACCAAATGTCAGACTACTTTCTAAAACATAAACTCATCAACCAGTCACAACACGGATTCCTCAAGAAAAGATCTTGCGTCACTTGCCATATAGACTTTTTCAACGAAGTCACCTATAGAATAAATAGGAGAGAACTAGTAATTATCCTCTATTTCAATATGAGGAAAGCCTTCGACAGAGTCCCACATACTCTACTAGTCAGCAGGCTATGCTCACTAGGGATATGCAACTCCCTCCAAAACTGGATAAAATCATTTCTCTGTGACAGAAACCAGACAACAAAAATTGGCTCGATGACCTCCAAACCTAGACCAATCAGCAGTGGTGTCATCCAGGGGAGTCTATTGGGGCCCCTTCTTTTCATTATATACATAAACAGTATATGTGAATGCTTTAGTATAGGCAAACCAATATTGTATGCAGATGACTTAAAGGTGACATATACCTGCACAAATACAGATATCGGCACAACTATGAACTCTATACATGAAGAATTGATAAAAATGGATAGATGGTGTGACACCTGGAGACTCGAGTTTAGTGTTGAAAAGTGTGGATGGCACTGCATAGGCTGTTCCAATCTTGAACTCGACCTAGCAATTCAGGGCCACAAAATCCCCAGACTCAAATCTGTACTAGACCTAGGACTGAAATATTCACACAATCTATCATTTTCTCAGCATATCTCGAAACAAGTAACGAAATCACGCAGGCTTATTGGTTTCCTACTCAGGAACTTCTACAGAAGTGAATCCAGAATACTACTGCACAAGGTTTATGTGCGCCCACTTCTAGATTACTGCTCATTCATATTTAGCAGTACACGCATAGAAGACAAACTGAAAGTAGAAGGAGTACAGAGGTACTTCACGCTAAAAGTACTCGGAACCGATAACGGCACAAACTTCTCTACCAGATGTGAAATCCTACGACTAGAAACATTATGTTTAAGACGACTGCGGCTAAATCTGGTACTCTTCTCTAAGCTTCTTAACCACATAGTGCATACTCCTGCTAATTATACTCGGTTCCCAGAAGACACTGGATATAACCTCAGATACACTAAAGGCACAGTGGCTATACTCCAGAGGTATTTAAGTACGGTGGAGACAGTTTACTGTCTGCAATAACTGAGGTTCTAAGCTGCGTCTGGGAATCAGAAGAAGTCCCATCGGGTTGGTTTAAATCACTGATCATCCCCATATACAAGAAGGAGCTCCATAGGTGCCACCGACATCCTTCTTAGATTGACACAATTTCCCTACTTGAGCATTAAAGTCACCAGCTAGAACGACTATGTCTGAGCGTTTAGCATTTCCCACCAAACTAGACAGCTTTTGGTAGGACTCATCCTTCGTTTCATCTGAACTGCAGTCAGTGGGGGCGTAGGCGGAGATTACGAAAAGGCATCGGCGAGTAGTGCAATCCTTCCTCCTTCTTACTGATCCGTTCAGGCGGACAGCACACATTCGGCTATCTACCGGGATCCAGTCAAGCAATGTCTTTTCTGCCCTAGTACTCAAAGCTATCCCTACACCAGCTAATCCTCGTGAACTAGCTGTGGCATCTCCTGACACCCTCAAGGTGAATTTTGCAGATTCAACCTGTTGGCCAGGTGCGGTTAAGTGAATAACCACACTTGGGTCTTGTATGCGTGTTTCTGAAACACAGCATACATCAATGGCTCGTGATGCCAGGGTCTTGGCTAGTGATGCTTGTTGTCCTATTTGGCAAAGTGTCCTAACATTAAGAGCTCCTATATGAAATTGGTGGCGCGGCTTTAAGAGGCTATCGGTGGTGGTTTTTTGGCTTCTATCGTTTTTAGTGGACGCAGAGTGGAGAGGAAGTGGAGAGCTATCAAGTCGAGGAGTTGCATCAGTGGAAGGAAGGCAAGATGATAGAGATGAAGATGAAGACAAAGATGAGTGAGTAATAGAGAGGTTTCGTGTGCATTTCGGATTGTGAGGGCGATTGTTAATTCCCGGCTGCCCACACCGTGGAAGTTGGTTGCGTGACTGCAGAGCCCAGGGGACAACTGCTTGAGGCCGGTCACACGCGGCCTGTTTTTGTTCGTTCTTTTTTGCTTGGTGTGTCTCAGTAGCAGATTTATCACTCCTGCCCTGTGACACGGCAGCAGGAAGCGCGGTCGTTGTTAATCCGGACCACGGCCGATCCGGCATGAAATTTTGTAATTTTGTATTGGACATGATGTTGGATTGAGTAGCTGCTTTTTGTTTAACCGCTATCCAAACAACCTGCCTGGCATGGTAGTACCTCAAGAGACATAAGTCTCAGCCAGTATAGCTTGATTAGGTCATTGCGGTGTTCAAGCCCGACCACCACGTCAAGGTAGCAGCTTTCGGTCGGGTCTAAGCCACGTAGGAAGGTGTAGACTTCCTGACCGGTTGGGGTCCTCGGGACGGTAAAAATCTATGGTTGGAAACAATTGGTGACATGGCTCAAAATCGTTCTCAGTGGCGCAGATGCATCCACTCCCTGTGACTTATGATCTTCAATGAAACTGTTTTGTATTTCTTTATTACTCCTTTGTCTCACACCTCTGCTCACTGTTTCTATTATGCTTTTCTTGTACTTTCTTCTCTTGCTTCGCGTGCTACACGGAATGTGGCGACTTGAACTTCCGCACATTTGTGCAAAGTTCTATGTCGAAAACAGACAGACAGACATATACAAGAAGGGAGAGAAGTCCTCCTGTGATAATCACAGAGGGATTAGCTTGACTAATATAGTATCTAAAGTCCTAGGCTCAATAATCATGTGTAGACTAAGTGGTGATCGGGAGGAACAAACACGAGAGCCAGACAGGCTTTAGACCAGGAAGAGGGTGTATTGATCATACCTTCACCCTCCGACAGATTCTAGAACATAAGAATTCCTACCGGCCCCCAACAATCACCATATTCCTTGACCTGAAGGCGGAATTCGATTCAGCGACTCAGGGATTGACTTGCTACCAAGGAATAAATAATCTCGTTGGCTTAGAATATGCAGACGATATAGTCCTTCTACGCGAGGACGCTGACAAAATACAGCAGAGTCTTCTAAACACCTTGAGTTGCAATCTACGAATGTTTGACATGCGATTCGCTCCCGCCAAATGCAAGATGATGTTACAGGACTGGATCACACCGACTCCTAGATTAGAAATAGGGAGTGAAGTGGTAGAGCATGTCGACCGCTTCCCTTATTTGGGAAGTACCATCAGCCAGTGCCAACGGGTTCATCTCTGACGAAATCTCAGCACGGATACAGGGGGCTAGTTTCGCATTTGCCAGTTTACGCCGACTCTGGCGTAAACGAGATATCCGACTATCGACCAAAGGGCGGGTGTACTGCTCATCAGTCCGCTTCATCCTTCTTTATGGCTGTGAGACCTGGCCACTGAGAGTGGAAGACATGAAAAGATTAGCTGTCTTTGATCATAGGTGCCTGCGTTCTATCTTCCGTGTGAAGTGGCATAATAAGGTGAGCAATATTGAGGTTAGGCGTCGGGTTCTAGGTAAACAGGGGAAATCAATCGACGAAGTTGTGAAGTTACATCGACTGAGATGGTTAGGTCATGTGTTATGCATCCCTGACTAGTCATCGCCTTCCTCGACGAGCAATGTTAGCTGATGTAGGGTCAGGCTGGAAAACAGATAGCGGAGGTCAAACAAAAACATGGCACCAGTCAATGAAATCTACTACTGTTAGTCTAAGCCACGTAGGAAGGTGTTGACTTCCTGACCGGTCGGGGTCCTCGGGATGGTAAAAACAAATGGTTGGAAACAATTGGTGACATGGCTCAAAATCGTCGTTCTCGGTGATGGCTGGTGCAGATGCATCCACTCCTTGTCAATATGATTTCCAATGAAACTGTTTTGTTCTTCGTTATTACTCTTCCTTTGTCTCACACCTCTGCTTACTGTCTCTATTATGCTTTCCTTGTACTTTCTTCTCTTGCTTTGTGTGCTACAAGGAGGAGGGAGTGTGGCGACTTGAACTGCTGCACATATGTGCAAAGTTTTTTGTCGAAAACAGACAGACGGACAGTGGTTATAGAACCATGTAAAACAGCCACTAGGCAAAAGTTTTTCTTGATTAGGTATGCCCAAATATGGAACAAACTACCTGAGGAAATGCGACTAGCGAGCACATTGGCCTCCTTTGAAAAGGCACTTAATGACACACTAAGTGAGTTTGCAAGTAATACCAGTGCTAATACCCATGTAAGCGTTTCACAAATCATAGGCCCACTTAATGTATGAACTTAGAGACTGCACCTGTTGTTTGTTTTGCCTCTATTTATAATTCCAGACAAAAACGCAGCAGTCATGACAATAACACCCATACAAATAAGAGTCGATCAAATTATGTCTACCTGATACAAAGGGTGAACCATAATCGACATATCAATGAAATATAAGAAAACAGGGTCAAAACTTACCACAACACCACATGGAAAGATATAAGTTACTTGGACATCATTTATAACCCACCAACTGGTCTCCTTTCCAAAAGGAATGCGGCGATGTTTTATCCACAATCGCGAGGATATACCTAAGTCCCCAGCTGCTGTTTTAAACCCTCAGTGGAGGTAGGAGCCAACAAAGTAATGCATTTAAAATATATGTGTACTTCCTATGATCACGGCGACACTCTGTAGAATATGTCAAAATCCA